GAAAATGCAATGAAATATACTAACTGAAATTGCAATCACGAGTCCAATTTGGATGAGTAACGGGAATACGAAGGGTAGAAAGTCAAGGTTTTTTCTCAGTTAAAGCGTATCTTTCTGTAGATTTTGAGAATCTTCAAATGACTTGAAATAATGATCTTCTAGAAAGTATTGACCTCATCAAATTTTAAAATGATATCTTGGAAAGTAAGTGAGATATTCCAATTGATAGAAAAAAATTATTAAACTCTGACCCACTGTAGCTTCGCTACTGAACGAGATCGAACTAATGTTAATATATATTTTTTTTATTTGAATAATGAGATTTATCTCCCATTTCAGTTTGTGCCTTGAAACCTGTTTAGAACATTGTATTCACTACTGAAAACTAAACCTCAAAATGGCAGATTCAAGACCAATTAATGAAAACATTCTGTAACCCATTTAAAGACTAAAATAACTAATTCATATGCCAACATCTATATGACACTGAAAAGTGTCAGAGTATAAGCAGCACAACTTCCAAACAGGAATATTTCGCATCTTTATGTTGAGAACAGAAGCAGATTCGATCTCAAAACGTCCAAAGATGAGTGAAAATTCGATATTTCTTCAATATATCTATATTTCTTTCCTTCGAACATTTTTCAAACAAATTGTCACTGAAAAGCTAGATACTGGATTTGTCTGTTAGGCTCCCTGATAGAGAAATTCAAATGTTTTCTATAATATATGTTCATCTGACGTTTTGGCTATCATTGAAGGAGAACGCACTCTTGACTCCATTTCAGTTCAGAACTTCATTCAATTATTCAATCTCATAATCAAATCTGAACCATATGATGTTCGTGTAATAATGATGATTCATTTCCTGGGTAATTTCAATAGCCGAGGCTAGACGTTGCTTCTGTTTATGGTTTAGTGGCATATTTTGTTTTTATGTTCAACATAGGTTTTCACATGAACATTGTTGCTTGAACCAGTAATAGTATCCATAGCCACTTCATTGGGAGCAGGACTAATTCAATTTATTTTGTTGCTGCCCTGTATTTTGACTTGCTTCTTTCCAGTGCTAGCTCTTCGAGTGAAAATATCCCGATCGATGACAAAAATAGTTATTTATTATACAAGGGAAAACAGTAGTAGATTTTAGCTCCTGGTTGTGTTGTCGTCTCCCGACGCGTAGCGAAAAGAGAACAAAAAACCGTGAGCTAAAATCCAATATTTTTCCCGTGTATAATATACTATTTTCTTCAGGACGAATCAATATTGGGCAGATATTACATTTTTTTCAAATCTGAAAATTATCGACGTGAGATTCTGAATTTTTAACAGTAGGAACACTTGCGTTGTAGGCATTTTCATCATTCTTTTGAAGTAATCAAATATCTGATATCATTTCTGTCAGTCTGATTCTGTGATTTGATTTCGAAAAATACCGAATTCAGTGGTTTCACAGTTATATACGTTACTGTGAAGTCGAATGGAAGATAAAAGGACTTGCAGTTTTTTCTCGGAGATCATATTATTGACTCATTTTCCGGAACTATAGCAGAACAGAAGCCATCAACAGTGATATGTGATATATATCCGGTAAAAAAGTACTCACTTTTTGCCCACGGAAAAGAAGTAATTCATGAATAGTGACATTTTATCACCTGCCAAACTTTTTTCCGTCACAGAAAAAAGAAAATATATTTCCAATCTGGACGATCTTTTCGTTCTTGGATTTCAAGCGACATCAGTATCATTTTATCTCTCACTCAAATATCATTTTTCCATTCGATCAACTATTGTTCATAACATGAAATTTCGAGATACTCCTTAACCAACGTTGAGTCATGTGAATTCTCGAATTGATCACGTAACATCTTATAACTGCACAATGAACAATCAGATTATGATTTCTCCGAACTATTCGTAGGTGAATTGTTACATTTTGTTCCATGCGAGCCGTAAAACTCTTTCAAATGTTTTTGCATCCGCAACTATCACTAGAAAACTAATGAATTTTTTCACTATTTTTCGAATAGTGCTATCTTAGTTGAATGATACTCCAAACAATGCCTTCTGATATTTTCAAAAGTGCTGAACGTTTTAGTACATTCTTCACAACAGTTTGATTCCATTTTCAATTGTGTGAAACGTGCAGAGATCTAACGATAAATATAAATGTATAGGCATTCTGAAAACAGTTCAATGCTTTTTTTTTGTTCCTTCTATCTCTAGACCTCAGTGAAATGTTAGATGATGGGAAATGGGACGATGGCGTCAGTTGACCACTGTCGAGTGCCGAATTCACTGTGATTCAGGTCCAAGAACATTCTGAACTTTCCGAGTTCTTCGACTGTGAAAGCAGTGGAGTGGAACCATTGAGGATATCATTTTTCAACTGGTGAAATTCGATCTCGACTTCTATCAAGATGTTTTTAGTTGACAGCAGCTTGGAACCAAGTATGGCTATCGTTTCATTTCCATTCTCTTGACTGTGCTGTATAAACATCAAATCTAGTGTTGAAAACATTAGATACCTTTCTACATAATCAGATACAAGAGTTAATATTTGTGTGTATAGTTGAAACATGATATTTCATGCAATGTTATAGACGTTATAGGTACCCACCTGAGGATCAGTTTATGTTTGAAATAAGTTTCCAATACACTTGAAATAATGGAATATTCAGCTTTACTGACTATCGAGAGATGAGAGTATGTGTGTTCATGGTATTCACCAAAGATATAATTGAATATTATTTTCATCTCCTCTCGAAAGAGGGCTTTCAATCAGGAAGAAACGAAATTATCGCGCCCGCTTAACTGGATGGATCACGCGACATTTTCAGTGAAGCAGCTGCTGATATACGATATGAAAAAGTGTCATAGAAACGAGTACCTGCCTTCCTGTTGATATTCCAATGGGGGAATGAATGTACACTAATATTGAAGTATTTTAACCTTGAGATGAGTCGGGAAATAATCAACGAATATAATCAGAATGCCCTCACTAAGTCGATTTTTGATCCCAAAAAGGTTCTAATCTAGATCTGAAATGAACATATTCGAAACATCCTGATTGAAAACAATGGACGTCTCCGAAGCGTTCAGAATACGCTGTCGTCCGAAAATGGACGTTCTTGAAACGTCCTGAATTTCCATAGTGGACGGTTCTGAAACGTCCATGAGAAGTATTTCTGCTGATTGGGTTTTCAATATATTATTTGTTGGAATGAAAATTGAAATGTATAAAGAAAAAATACTTCATTGAACTTCAAACTTGATGAACTGGAAACTTCTATAAATCATTCGTTTTAGTGATACGGGAATATTATCTTTTACGAACAGGTAATATAACTTCATTTGACAGATGGAACCTTGTTATTTTTCCAGACCACTATTTCAGATTCATGATTGGCTTCTCCGAATTCAGAGTTTTTTTCACGCCCTGGAAGATAGACACCAATTCTTCATAGATCTAAAAACGAAAGCATACCCAGATGACAGTAGTTGAATGTTAACAAAAGATAATTCTCAGATATCAATTCGTTATATCTTCAGTTATTTCATAGAGTGGTGAAAATCATGTTTTTCACGGTGATTTGCTGAAGAAATACCTGAACTTCAGCTTGATGAGGAAAATTTGATTTTCGGAATGAGTTCATCCGAATAAAGTCATAAAACGTGATTGTGAGCGATGAATATCCCATATCACTAATACGGATAATATTCAGAAGTTTCTAGCTCATCAAGATTAGAGTTCATAGAAGTATATCTCTTCTATACATTTCAATTTTCATTTCAATACTGAATATATTGCTAAGTCATTCATCATATTATTCATCGGATTTGAAAGAGATTGTCAATTCCCATTTCCGAAGGATTTTTCTTTTTATGTTCTCCTTATGGATATTTGACAGGTATAATGCACCGGTCAACGTGAAAAATCGCCAGGAGAGTTGTTTTTTGTCGTTCAATATATCCAGAATGATGGTGCATATATACTTGGGGTTTTATCTTCCATTTATGAATATATTTTCTTATCTGGAGGAGAATGCAAATCCAAACTTCAAAGAATTCAATTATAGACTTCTCATTGTGTATGTGTTCAATAGATATAATTCAATGTTAGTCGTAAAATAGAGCCAGGAGTAGTTGTTATTTGTGGAATATATACCGAGAAAGAGTCAATAGCCTCGTCAAATTGGGAATGCAAATTCCTGATGTATTGAAATGTATATAAAATCTTATTCTAGCTCATCATAATATATCTGAGGATATTATATTTCAACAGGTTATGTGTTCCAGAAAATACTTCCATTGGCAAAAAATTCCAAAGTTCACCATTCGTGGATCAGAATTCACGATTGTGATCACCCTGTATATTTGCGTCGATCAACTGTCAGTAGATAGTGGATCAAAAGATATTTACAGAGAAGCAGTTCTGACTGATGATGAATATATTCGAGACGAACATGGAATTCTTAATATAATTGATCGAAGATGATATTTTTTAAATAACCTAGACTCATATTTATCTTGTGATTTCCATGCTCTGAAGCTGTGTTTATGATAAAAGGATGTGTTAATGAAATTAATGAGGAATAACATCGAACAATTTCAGCTATTTTCGAAAGAGAACTAATGATTACGATTCCTCATAAATATAATATGTCCTCATCTTCAGGCTTTCAACGTGAAATAATGAAAATCTCATGTTGGTTACACATAGAGAAATAGAGTAGAGGACAATCTGATCAGACCATCGTGAATGAACATTACCATTATTCTCATTAAATTCGTCATCAATATGCAACTCTCATTAATTCATCTTTGATACCTGGATTGGGGAATATATTTCTCACAATGATAGCTGAACTATTCCATAGAAACGACGATAAATCGAGAACAACTCTTGCTCTTATCAGATGTAGCGGCAGGCACGATTACCTACGACACGATTCTGTATCTTCGAATAGTTATGGGGCAATTTTTTATATCTCAAGCACCTGAAGTACAGCTCAGGCAGGCACAGTAACGAATCAACGTCTATGGATTCGGCGTGTTTCGCCAACTCGATGACGTCGGGTAAGGGGCAGCCGCCTACTTGGACCATCAAATGTTGCTTGGTGGTTCTCACTGCCTTGGACCATTCCTCCACGACTGTTTTCCTTTCTTGAACCGTCATAGACGTGCCTTCTCCGGTAGTGCCGTGAACTATCAGGAAGAAATTGTCAAAAATCTCAGATTAACTGAACTGGTCAACATTGATAACGTCGGGCTCCAAAGTATAGCTTGAATTCGAAGGAATAACTCACGAAATTCCTCACCAATTCGAAATCGGTTTCCACCGATGATTAGCCTATTCTTGACAGTTTGTTGTGAAGATATGAAACTTCTGTAATTTCAGATAACATTGCTACAGGGTGATAATTGAATGGGTGTAAAATTGCATCGTGGTCGTCACCTTACCGTTTGAACAGATATTTTTTTTCTCATCTGTATCCTCTCGATTGATGCTTTCTCACGAAATTCTTTCGGAATTTTCAAATTCGGAGCTTCGATGATAGTATTATGAATATCCATTCAGAATGATTCTTTCTTCCGACAATTAATAGAATGAAATTGGAAGTTGGGATTCTTCTCCGAAGAATAAACGTTGTATGTATAGTCGCCGTATCTGTGATCGTGGTCGAACACAGAAAATTCTGAAAGAGTCTTCACAAAGTGATACAAGAAATACTGAATGATGGAATTGAGAATTACGTAGTCTTCAGTAGATGAAACATATCCTCCTCTGTGTAACTAATGGAATAATGAAGTGTTACTTCGTCATGAGGATGTCTGGTGTCTTACCTCAAAATGATGTTGTAATTTCTTGGATCGAAGGTCATGTAATGAGAGTAAGCATTCTCAATCGAAATGATGCATTTTCGTTGGAATAAATTATGAAATTCAAAAAATTATGATTGTAGTTCCAGAAGTATGAAATTCATATTTATTCTTGAAGATAAATATACAAGGTGCGATAAAAAGTTTGTCCAGTTTGTTCCAGGATGAAGAAGGATATGTTTAAACATGATGAAAATTGCTATGTTCCGAAAAATAAATGTAGTGTCGGTCATCGTCGAAATTTGTGAAATGTATAAATACAGTAACTTTTCATGAGGTTTGAACGAGGAAATCTGAAAAAGACTGCAGAATTGCCATATATTCGATTTAATGTTTTCCATACTGATGGAGATGAATTCAGTAAGTCCTCATGAGGCTCATACGAGGTGATATAAACGAAACTTCACATATCGGAATGGACGTCAATCCGATATGCAATTAAAATTTTCTCGACGCGAGGGAATATAAGAGCAATAATTGTGAGTAAAAAAATTTGTGAAATTTGTATATCGCTACTTCAAAGTTGGGAACCAACTCCCCAGAAGTCGAAACTTGTGCGGGGTTTGGAATAGCGGGACCTACAGCTCATAGTTGAATCCGAACCACTTCTAGGGCATTGAGGTGCTGCCAGGATTACAACCATGAATCACACATTTTGAAGAATAATGCTCAGCCGATAGCCGGATTCGAACCGACAGTACCTCTGCATCGTGAACGGCTATCTAGCGAATTTCAAACGCATTGACAAACTCGGCCACGGAGCCCATGTCCCCAGTACAAGTTAGGATATCTTCATTTTTCTCAACAGAATTCGTCAAATCTATGGCATCAGGTGAGATATTATGAATTACTTATGAATCACCTTGTGAAAAAGATGATGCAGAAATGAGCATTCAAGAGGTATTCTATCTCCATTCAACTTTACACTGAGTGACAATGAGGAAAGTTTTCTTCGGAAGACTATGTTGTAGGTGTGAGATCATCATAAGATGCAATAGTGACAAGTATGCACGAATATATGTAAATTTTGAAGTCTCTTTCATATCACCTTGTATGAGCCTCATGAGGACTTACTGTATTCATCTTCATTAGTATGGAGAACATTATATCGAATATATGGCAATTCTGCAGCCACTTTCATATTTCCTCGTATAAACCTCATCAAAAGTTACTGTGATTATACATTCCACAAATTTTAACAATGACCGACACCATATTTCTTTTTCGAAACATAGCGATTTTCATCACGTTTCAACATATCCTTCTTCATCTCAGGACAATCTGGACATACTTTTTTTCGCACCATGTATATTCATCGTCAAGAATAAATTAATATAAATTCCATTCTTATGGAACTACAATCGTAATTTTTTGGATTTTATAATGTATCTTAACGAAATAGGTACTTTCATTATATGGCATTCGATCCAAGAAATAACAGAACCATTTCTAGGTCAGACACCAGACATCCTCATGACGATGAAACACTCCATTATTCCACTAGTAACACAGAGAAAATTATGTTTCGTCTACTGAAGACTACGTTATCCTCCATTCCATCATTCAGTATTTCTTGTATCACTTTGTATATACTTTTTCAGAATTTTCTGTGTTCGAACACGATCACATATCCGAAGGATTCCAACTTCCACTTTCATTCAATCAATCGTCGGAAAATACATCATTCTGAATTAATATTCATAACACGATCAATTAAGCCCAGGATTTGAAAATTCCGAAAATGTTTCGAGAGGAAGCATCAATCAAGAAGATACAGGTGGAAAAAAAAAATAAAAATCATCTGTTCAAACGGTAGGGTGCAATGTTATCTGAAATCACAGAAGTTTCATATTGTCACAACAAACTGTCAAGAGATCAGGCTTATCATCGGTGAAAACCAATTTCAAATTGGTGAGGAAATTCGTGAGTTACTCTACTTTTGATTCATGCTATATTTCGGAGCACGACGTTATCAATGTTGACCAGTTTAGTCAGTTGGGCAAAGAGATGTATTTTACTAATTTTCTCTTCGGAAAGGTATAACATTCTGAAGATCCCGGTAAAACCTTTGTCAAATCGACTATTCAAGACCCAGGTAGCAAATAGCAACTTCATGACGTCTGAAAGATGGCATTATATTTTGCCTTCATACGTATTTCATACTATAAAAACTGACGTTCATATGAAGAGAGTGAGTCACAGCTATATGACGACACCTTTTTGGTCTCTTGGACGTCAATGCGGCGTTCATTCATGAACATCTGAGCGACGTCTATTCTTCGAGTAATATGCTCAACCTCCTTCTTTTCAGGTGTTTTCTGATCATGACTTGAATGATAATGATGTTATTATAGGAAACCCAGTTTTCGAATGATATATTCATACATTTCACGAATATCGATTATTCAGTGCTCTGTCATAACCAACCCAAATTCAGACCATTTGAAACAAATCTGATTTTATTCAACGAATGTTTGGAATCAATAGAGCTTACTTCATTCCACCAAGACACTAGATGTGATGACTGTCAAAAAAATGACAACCGAAACACTCCTGTCTTCTGTCATGTGGAAAGGATACAACCATTCCTGGATAAAAGTCACTGTTGTTCCTACTTTCATCGATTTGGATAACCGCAAACAACACCAAGAAGATCGGAAATCAGTGTTGCAGAACGAAACAATAAACCACAATTTTGAATGCGGAACCATCTTGTCAATCCAACCGCACGAAAGGAACAACAAAATGAACAAAATTGTATCAGAGAAGGCGCAATGGCCGACGCGGCCGATTCTTGCCGTTGACACTTCCATGCACCCGTGTTGCCAGATTTCGAATACTCAAACTGAAAAAATGAAAGATTTCGAAAGTTTCCATTACCTGATAACTTTTGCTTCTTACGTTATGAGAGAACTGAATAACAATATCATGCTTCAATGTGACAACGGTATCATAATTGAGGGCCATATTCCATCTGCATGATATATTAATTATTATTGATATAGCTATTTCATTGTGAAGTTGAATTCATCATAGCCACAGTCCAGTTTTCTGTGGCTGTTCATCAGAAAATAAGACATTGCTGCGAAAAAATATTGGCACAACCTAGAAACAAGCAGACATTGATAGTTGTGGTCACAGCTTACATATATCGTTAGTTCTTTCCTTGAACGAGAAACTGACAACTGCTTCATCCTGTCAGAATCTATCGTGCAATCATCATTCTTGAATCTCAATATTCCATCATCATAATAATGATAGAAGTAAGTAGAAAATGTGAAGATAGCTATATTGTGACAAGGTACAAATTACAACACTTTTTAAAAGTTCAACTACTGTTTAAAGACCAGATATTGTCGCCAGTAGGATGTCCAAAAAATGCCTTCCATGTGACGTGGAAAATACGATTTCTTTTTGACGTAATGATTCGGACAAGTGACGAACGAGACTATGAATTATCAAAAGAAGCAGTCCTATCGACTTCATTTTCATCAGTGTGACTACCTGAGGAGGACATTCAAATAAAACATCTCATTAATTTCTGCATTTGTGACAAGAACTACGACAATCAAATATGAACTCAAAAGTTATCGTGAGGTATCTACAGAAGTCAATGGATGATGAAAAATGATTCAGAACCATCGTAAGTGCACCTCAGAGTTCCATAGTAGGCAAGCGATAATGGAAGTGAGCATAATATATGTCGTTTTGGTTTTCACAACTGTTTTTCTAGCTTTTGTATTATTCCTTACCATTGTTCTAGTAATTCATTCAGTATTATGGATCCAGAGCAGACGAATTCATGAAAATGTATAGAAACCCTGTTACAAAAATCCTACTCTGGGAGGTCACAGGTTTGTAGAAAATTGGTCCAGTAACGATCTGGTTTAATAATTCACTTTCTATGATGAGAGGCGTTTTCGGAATATTCGAGATATCAAATAAACTTACTCAGACTATATACAATGACGAACAATCACACAAGGTATTCGACGGTGGATGAAAGATGAGACATATGGAGAATCCATAGAGATATAGGGTATACCTATTCAAAATCGATATTTTCTACTCAAGGTTTTCTTTGTATCGGAACTATTGATCCGTTGTTTGAACGGCTCACATGTCCCTGTCTCATTTTTTTATCAACCCTTTACTGACACTGGATTGGAGCAAATACAAGGTGGTTCATGGAACAGAATTATGATCACCCTGTATCTGTTCCGATTGAATGTCAGTAGGAAGGTAATCAAAAGTTCAGATGAAGACGAGAGCCGTTTTGAATGATTAGGAATAGAA